AGCCTCAGGAGGTGTGAGGTTTGGATAAGTAACCCTTGTGTCTTTTCAGCATCAGTGTGGAGATGGCCTCATGGAGCCTAGGCTGGCCCGGAATTTACTGTGTAGTAATGGTAAGGATGCCCTCCGACTCCTAACCTCCCTGCCTCCATCTCCCAGATGCTGGGGTTACCGACATATGACACCACACCCAGCTTCTTGTCGATATTTTTCAAGGACCGGTTAATGGTGATGATTAAGACCGTGACAAAGGCGGATTAGGCGCCTGGCATGCCACTTGTCAATGTGAGGCTGCCACCTGGTGGTCAGAGGCCAGGCACGCCGAGACGGTGGCACCAACCAAGAGGGGAGCCTCACTGGCGAACCTTGACAGCCCTTTTTTTCTTGCTAGTCAGGAACAGACAGATTATAACTTGAAAAGTGAGATCAATATTCATTGCTGGTTCTTTTTCTTTGTTTTGTTCTGTTGATATGAGTCTCACTAGGCAGCCAAGTTGGCCTAGGCCTTGCTAGCTAGACTGGCCTTGACCTCTCCATTTCCCTACATCAACCACTTCAGCAAGTCTATGCTGGAGAGATGGCTCACAGGTTAAGGGTCACTGGCTGCACTTCCAGAGGACCCAAGTTCGATTCCCAGCCTCCAAATGGAGGCTCATAACCTAACCCATATGGAGGCTCTGTAACCCCAGTTACCCTGCTCTGGCCTCCCCGAGTTCCTGGTCAGATAATACACGCAGGCAAATACTCATACATACTAAAGAAATAAATTAGTTCTTTTTTTTAAAAAGAGTGTGTGTTTGCCTGTGAAGCCACACCATGGTAGTGATGGGAGAGAAAGCTCCGTGGAGACGAAAGGAACCGAGTCAAGGGCAGCCCTGCTCCTCCCCACCTCAGCCCCCTCCCCAGTGCCCTCTGCAAACGCCCCCTGCTGCACTCACCCATAACTCAGCCTCACTCCTTCCGCACTCCGGAACTTGGACTCCTCCACCTCCGGGTAGACCAGCTTGGAGAGGGCCAAAGCGCACGGGGCCGCCATGACCGAGGCAGCAATTAAGGAGGCAGCGTCAATCTGTAAGAACAACCGAGAGGGGCCAGGGTGGTGAGAGCAGAGTGCTTGTCCAGCGTGCACGAAGGCCTAGATTTCATCTCCAGAACCACAGAACCAGGCACGGAGGTGCCCTCAGGAAGTTGGAACAGGAGGATCAGGAAGTCAAGGTCATCCTGGGCTACATAGTGAGTTCAAGGTCAGCCTGAGACCCTGTCTCAAAAATATAAATAAATAAAATAAATGACAGGGAGGTAGAAGGGACAGGTAGAAGAAATGAGGTGGCAGAGGGACATGTTCTTCACCCCATTAGTATGACCTCGCTGTATCACTGCTGGCACGGTGATTAATAATCCCCTTTATGTTCAGAGGCTCTCCCAGGACTTCTGTAAGGGCCCATGAGATGGCTGAGCAGGTAAAGGCGCTTGCTGTTAAGCCTGAAGACCCCAGTTCAGTCCCTGGAACTGACATGGCAGGAGAGAACTGACTGCTGCAAGTTGTCCCTGCCTCCCACCCAGGTACACAGATACACACACAAACAAATGCATGTAAAAAAAAATAAATAAATAACAAAAAAGAGTGATCGCCGTTTCCCTAAAAAAAAAAAAATACTCCTGCAAGGTAGGCAGTGCAAGTATTATTACCCCATTTATATGCAAGGAAACCGAGGCCCTGGAGGAGTAACTAAGTATAAGTTGCTCAAAATAAAGGATGAGGAAGAATTAAAATCCGACATGGCCTTTGGCTCCAATTTCACGGGTCCTCCTCTCATCTAGGCTGTCTCTCTTTGACCACTAATCCCCACTGGCTGAGGAGTTTGTGACAGATTCAGACAATGCTCCAGAACTGAGAGATGGGATGGGTGCGAGAGGTAGCCCATCCCCCCACAACCCTCAAAACACACACACACACACACACACACACACACACACACACACACACACACACACACACACACACCCCCGGCATAGCTTATGTGCCGGTCTATGAGCGCAATGCCTAGCCTATATTCGATCTCTGAGTACTTGACAGGAAACTCACTGCTTCAAAGCAGCCGTCATGCTCACTCCCATACTAGGAAGCCCTTTTCAGGAGCCAGCCTCCTTCCAGTGCCCTGGAAACACTGGGTCTGTCTCTCGGAATCACATTGGACAGGCGCTCCAGCAAGATGGCAAACAGCACCATCTCCGAGGGGGTGGGGGTGCTTCCCAGACACATACCCTCACTGCTCCAGAGACAAACGAGACAGCCCTCCCCTCGGCTGTGTTATCCACCCGCTGGCCGGTGAAATCAGAACCAACTCAACCATCTAACAAGGAGCAAATGGCCGTGTGAATGGGTGTTTGGCCTACACGGTGATGCATTGCGGTACATCATAGGCGCCTGGTGCCCGTGGAGGCCAGCAGAGGGCCTTGGATCTCGGGAAACTGGAGTTACAGATGATTGTGGATTGTCCTGTGGGTGCTGGAACATGGGTTCTCTGTAAGGGCAGCCAGTGCTCTTATCCACAGAGCCATTGCTCCACTCTGAGAATGGTCTCTAGAAAATGATGCTTCTCGGGGTCCTGCGGTAACATGGGAAAATGCCCACAACATTGCATGAAGAGCGGGACTGTAAAGATGACGGAAAACAAACACCAAACCGCCTAGAGAGAACCCCAGAAACAAGTCCCCCAAATTGTCGGCACACTGGCTGCTCCTGGTGAGCTGGGTTTGAAGTAATTTTCTTCCTTGCTGCTTTTTGGTAGCTTCCAATAGGTCCACAACTCCGTAACATTTTTTTATAAACAGGAAAGTGAACTAGATCTTTTCTCTTTCAATTTTGTAGTAAGCCAATAGCAGTTTTCTGGGATGCAGGTCAGTCAACAGAGAATTTGTCTAACATCAAGAAGTGTTGAATTCCATCCCTGGCATCACATGAACTGGGAAGGGTGATGTAGTCCTGTAATTCTAGCACTCTGGAGGTGGTGATGGAAGAATCAGGAGTTCAAAGTCATCCTTGGTTTTGCAGTGAGTTTGAAGCTAGATGCATGAGGCCCTGTTTTTAAAAGGGGGTGGGGCTGAAGAGATGCCTCCATAGTTAAGAATGCTGGCTGCCTTGCAGAGGAACCTGAGTTCAGTTCCCAGCCCCCCATCAAACAACTCAAAACAGATGCCCTCTTCTGGGCATGGTGGCACATGCCGTTAGTTCCAGTAGAGGCAGGCAGATCTCTGTGAGTTCAAGACCAGCCTGGCCTATGTAGTAAATTCTAGGCTAATCAGAGCTACACAGTGACCCTGTGTCTCAAAAGAAGGAAGGAGGAGAGGAGAGAAGGAGGAAGGTGACTTTACATGGGCTAATACAAGTGGAGGGCAGAAGTTCCCAGGGAACAGTCAGGAAGCGCAGAGGCGGAAGCAGGCCTGGAGATCTTCAGGCTCAGAATTCCTCCTTCTCTTTCTAAACTTGCTTGTTTCTCTTCATCCAGAAGCAGAAACCACTCGGGGTGTGATAATGAAGTGCTGCTCTGAAAGGCTCAGTGTTAAGGCTTGGTCCTGAGCTGGTGTGAGGAGAGGCCCCTGGCTCACAGCGGGGAGGGCCTAGCCTCAGCAACAGGTTAATCCATCAACACGCTGAGTCGCTGAGTCGGGAGGAAGAGCCTGGCCAGAAGAAGTAGGTCACCGGGACATACCTTTAGGGACATCTGGTGCCCAGACTCTTCCTCTCTGTCTCTCTGCTTCCTCGGCTGCACGAGGTTGGCATTGTTCTACTACACCCTCTCTGCCATGTTGTCCGATCTCAACACAAGCCCACAGCGATGGGGCAAAGTGAGTATGGGCGGAAACCTCTGGTGGCGTGATAATTAATAAGATAAATCTGCATTTTCAGCATTTCTCTAGGGTGCTTTGTCATAGTAACAGAAAGGTCACTCATATCCCATGAAAATGAGCCCGCAGTGGCCCCCAATTCCTCCGTCAGGAGCACTAGATGGCAGGCTCAGGACCCCGCTCCTTCCTGGATAAAGGGCAGTTTGCATGGGTATCCTCTTTGAACTTTCGGGGCCTCACTTGTCTCCTCCCTGGCTGCCCAGCTCCAGCGTGGAGAGTGCCACACCTGCAATCTGGGGCTTTTCCTGACCTCTTCTTCAGCTTGAAGAGTACACCCGGTTTGTGAGCTTCGATCTTAGTAGGGAAGACGTATTTCAGAGCCAATGCAGCCACAGCCTCAGATCCCACAGTGGCCATTCCTGCTCTTCATGGAGAGGTGGAGACCTGCATGCAGGCCGTGAAGCTCCTTCATCCCACACCAGCCTACTGCGGCCCCTTTGCACTTTGCCCAGCCCTGTCGCCAGGAGCTCAGTCAAGGATGCCTTCCATCAGCTACCCAGGGCCCCTTCTCCCCAGCTGTCCCACGTGGAAACAGAGGACAAGGGCACACCACCTTCCAGGAAGGAATTTAGTGAGAAAGAAAATAAAGGAGCCAGTCGCTGGACGGATTTCTGATCTGACTATGACCACCTTTTCAGCACCATGCTACGTGTCTTCTGCCCATCTTCAGTTCATCTACTGAGGTCAGGCAGCCGGCATATCTGCCCATTTTACAGATGTGGAAACTGAACAACAGAGTCACTTTACCCACTCAGGATCTTGCAGACCCTGTTCCACTTGGGGGCAATTCAATAAGAAACACGAGTGGCTGACTCCTGAATGTTACTCTGAACCAGCTTGGATTCAGAGACCCCTGCACCAAGAGGCCAGTTTGTTTGGATTTGCAGTAAAAGCTGGTGTCTGTTCTAGAGCCTTCGGAACAGCAGCATGGTTGGAAATGTACATGGTAGTCACTACAGAATGATTCAGTCAAGTGGCACTTGGGGCTGTGTGACAAAAGAGAAGACCCCGGTCGGCACTGTCCAATACAACCTTGACGGAGACCACACCTGTAATTTTATGCCTGTCACATTCTTTTACATGGGGTCTTGTGTAGCCCAGGCTAGCCTCAAAGTTGCTAGGCAGCTGATGGTGGCCTCAAACTTGTGATCTTTCTCCTCTACCACCCAGGTGCTGGCCCGGTAAGACATGTGACACCACACAGAAAAACACCAACACCTTCGCTGTGGCCAGTAACCACATTTTTTAAAGTGCAAGGAAAGCCAGGCCTGGGGGCAGCACGTTGGTAATGCTATGTTGGAGGCTGAGGCAGGAGGTCACCAGTTCAGGCCAATCTAAGTAACTTAGTGAGACACCATTTTTAAAAAAAAAATTGGAACGTCAGCTCAGCGGTACAGGACTTGTGTAGCACTTGGGATAGAGGCCCTGGGCTTGCTCTCTAACGCTGAGGGGAGAGTGAAAGAGGATCTGGTTCATTTTTAATGTGTTCTAATTAACCCAATGTACCATCAAAGCTTTTCTCCCCCCCCCCATAATAATATAAACTAATTTAATAAAACATCTTAATTTTTTTTTCTGCGCAAAGCCTTCCACACACCTCTTTTCAAACCAGCCACGTTTCCGGTGCTCAGTAGCCCCTCACTACTGTGTGGACAGGTCCTGGAACTATCCAGACACCTGCAATAGGAAGGTTGTGGGCCAAGGGTCGGAAGCTGAGCCACAAAGAGAAATCTGTGAACTGAGGGGAGAAGGCTCAGCGGGTCAGAGCACGTGCCATACCAAGCCTTAGTTCAAGCCCCGAGCCCACAGTGGGAGGAAGAGAACCGGCTCCCAAAGGTGTCCCCTACCCACACACGCATGCCTTTGACAAGTGTGCCCTGTGCTCAGACACAAACAATAATAGTAAAATTTTTAAATAATGAATCTGTGAACTGAGAGTGTAGCTCAACGACTCGCCTAGCACACCCAGGGTCCTGAGTTTGAAACCCAGCCACATAAAAACAGAGCAAAAAAAGACTCTGGGAGTCTCCCTGGGACAGGGCAGGAGGCTGGGCAGTGACGGCCAAGGGCAGGTGGGGGCAGAAGAGAGCTTCTCCACAGCCCGGGATGGGAGGAGTAGAGCAGGGGAGAGGGGAGGAAGGGAAGAGGCGGGGAAGGGAAGAGGAGAGGCTGGTTATGTCCTATCCCAGACCCCGCTATGATCGCAGCCTGAGGCTCCCCCCACCCCTGCCCTGGGAGCCCTGTGGCAGCCTCCGCACATCTGTAAGGCTACAGAGGAGGGGTAGCCAGACTGTCAGCTGGGAGGAAAAATGTCCCCAGGGCCAGACTCATGACTAAAAAAGAGAAGGAGGGAGCTGAGTTTTAAGCCAGATGGTGTAAAAGGGACAAAGTGTCTTCCGGTATGGTGTGGATGGTCTTTGACTTAATGGCTCAAACAAATAGTTTTTACATCAAGGTAGTCTTAAAGTGATAAGCGTTTTGTAGAAACTGCACTTGGCATTTGGAATGGTGATCTTTCCTAGGCTAGCCAAACACTTTCTTGTAATGCTGGTGGCAGCAGCCAGCCAAGCCCCCCATCCGGGTCTGCCCCCACGATCAGGCCAGGGGAAGGCTTGGTGCTCACAGTGTACTGTCTGTGATGGAGCAGGTTAGACAAATTCCGTGCATTTTCAACTTACGATGCATTTATAGATGTGTTACTGGGCATAGGCCCATTACATCCAATACAGCAGACTGTTCTTAAGTTTTCTTTTACTTTTTGAAGTGGGGTTTCACTATGTGACCAAGACTGGTGTTGAACTTTCAATCCTCCTGCCTCAGCTTCTGGATTGTGCAATTATAGGTGGTGACGGATTTATCTTTTATTTTTTTATTTTAGTATGGTATAACGAACTCAGGGCTTTCCAGATGGTAGGCGAATACTGCTTGTGAGATACATCTCTTGCCTTTTAAGTCCTAGTTAGTGACTGAAGGTCTCTGCAAATCTCACATGGCTAGAAAGAACATGGGGTGATTCTTAATACTGACCACAAGGCCCAGAGCAAAGCTAAGACATTTAAAGACCTTCAGATGTGAAAATAGTATGTCCAATATATCGCTATGAGAAGCAATTTCACGCACACAGTTTGGGGTTTCGATTTTTGTCTGTTTTGTTTTTTTCTTTGTTTGGTTTTTGAGGCAGGAGAGCCTCCAGCTCTGTATGTACCTGATGACCTGGAACGTCTGATCCTCCTGCCTGTACCTCCCAAATGCTAAGATTACAGCTCTTAAAAAATAAAAATTATGTGTGTGGGGGAAGGGTGGCACAAGCCTTTAATCCCAGCCCTTGGGAGGCAGAGGCAGGCAGATCTCTGTGAGTTCAAGGCCAGCCTGGGCTACAGAGAGAGTTCCAGGACAGCCAGAGCTACACAGAGAAACCCTGTCTCGAAAAACAAAACAAAACAAAACAAAAAATAAAAAATAAAAGTGTGTGTGTGTGTGTGTGTGTGTGTGTGTGTGTGTGTGTGTGTGTGTGTGTGTGTGTGTGTAGGGTGATAAGGCAGATCTCCAGGGACTATGGAAAAGTGAGCACACATTTCAGAGTCAGATAGATCTGGGTTCAGATCCTGGCTTTAACCATTCATTTATTCTCTGAGCCTCAATTTGCTTATCTATAAAATAGGTATACTAGAGTGCCCAGCTCAGTGCCTGACACATAATAAAAGCTTAGTAAAGGGAATTCAAGGAACCTGCCCCAGCAGCCCCGTGAGAAGCCTGAGCAAGTGGTTCAGTCCAGCAGTCCTGCCTTGCTCAGGCAAAGCTGGGCTTTGAGACAGAGAGGGGACACCCCATGGCTGCTGTGACTGTATGGAGCTTCCAGAAAGGCAATCTCGGAGCTTTGGCATAGGCAAGCAGCGGAAGGTTCAACCTACCCCAAAGGAGATGTAGGCGCCCAGGAGGCTGCCGGCAATGGTGGCGTAGCCTCCAGTCATGACGACGTGAACTTCAGAGAGTGTCATGTCTGCTAGATAGGGCCGGATCAGCAGAGGAGCTTCGGTCTACAAACAAGACAGATGGCAGACAATGAACTGGGGTGACTGGGCACTGTTCTCACGCACCTCGCCCTGGAAGTGGTGGTCATGGTACATGACGAAGAATCTCAGAGGAGGAAACGGCAGGGTGGGTTCCTATTCAGCGGGGTCTCTCTGGACCTCACTGTCCTCCCACCTCTGTGGAAGGACCACCACACCACACTGTGTTTCACACTGCTCCCTGTGTTGACACATACCGTGTGCCTCACACCTAGGCATCTCCTCACTGCTTACAACCTGAGACAGAAAGAGCCTCACTTTCCAGGGGAGCAGAAAAAGGGAAGCAAGCCTGAGCTGTTGATGAGGCCAGAGGGTACCACCAAGAAAGGAGCTGGGTATGCAATGGCCATTTGCTTCGGGACCTGTGGGGAAGTCTGGGCCACTCTTTATTTGTCCAATACAGCTACAGACTGCCTGGCGTCTTGGTACTGTTCTGCAGGATGGGGAGATGGGAGGATGATGGCTCATCTTCATTGTCAAGGTGACTGGGTTTAGAATCACCATGGAAACACACCTTTGGTGCATCTGGAAGGGTGCTTTCAGAGAGGTCTAACTGAGGGGGGGGCAACCCACCTACCCTGAATGTGGATGGCATCATCCCATAGGATGAATACAAAGTGGAAAGTGAGCTGAGCACCAGCATGCATCTCCCCGGCTTCCGACTGCAGACACACTATGATGGCTGCCTCCCACTCCCGGGCCGTCTCTGCCAACATAGACTGCACCTCTAAAATGTGAGCCAAAGTAAGCATCTCCTCCCTTCCCTAGGGTGCTGCTGTCAGTATTTCATCACAGGAACACGAAAAGTAAGCAACACACCGAAGGGGTAAGAACTCTCCCTGGGAGCAGGAAGAGGGAGGGAGGTCAAGAGGAAGGAGAGAGAGATAAGAATAAGGAGCCAGGTAGATACTCACTATGGTTTTAGAGGGTGATAGAATCTATGAATATATGTAAGAAAGAAGGCCTTGTGGTTAGGGAATATCAGCAAAGGTCTCTTTGAGGATGTAGCATTGAGTTAACGTTAGCCAAGATGGGAAGGGGCCGACCACGGACTTGTGGCTCAGCAGTCAGGCAGAGCGAAGGCCTGAGGACAGGAATAGCCTGGCCAAGTTTGAGGAGAGCTGAGGAGGAAGACAGGTCTGTCACGGAGTGCTGTGTGTGAGGACTAGTCTGATATGGAGGCAGAAGAGCGCAGATGAGCTCTGGGGGAAGGAGTCCACTTGTTCGGGTAGGGCATGGCATGAGGTGCGTGTGCGTGTGCGCGTGCGTGTGCGCGTGCGCGTGCGCGTGTGTGCATGTGTGTGTGTGTATGTGTGTGTCTAGGATAGAACCTCTAGGGTTTTGCCCATGTTCAGCACGCATTCTACCACTGAGTCACACCCCCAGCTCCTCGTACATGTTTTTGACAGGTCACTCAGCCGTGTCTAAGGATGGATGGGAGGAGTGAGGATGGAAGCAGGGAGGAGGACAGCAGGGAGGACGGGTAGTGATGGCAGTGGTCCAGGAGACTGGCAGCATGGCTCCCAGCAAGGAAGAAGGGCAGGACCAGGGATGGATGGATGCAGGGGCGGAGCTGAGGGACTTGGTTCCAGGTGGGATGCATGGGTAGAGCAGAGTGAGGGAAGCAGAGGAAGGCGGGATGGCTTTCTGGGTTGTCTGAATAACCCACGGGAGATGTTGTCGCTTCTGGGAGTCTTAAGAAGATGCAGCTCTGTCAAGGGAGGGACTCTGGGTCCTGCGTGGTGAATTTGAGACATCTCTGAGTTATTATTGACTCACAGGGGTAAGAAACTGTCAGACCACCAGTCCAGAGTTCAGGGAGGAAGGATGGGCTCGGGGCTCCAGATCAGGACACATATAAAGCATTTACAGCCACAAGGCTACCGTAAAACCTTGGGGAGGGAGTGTGGACTGCGTAGGTGGGCCAGGCCTGCCATGGTTATAGACTGAAATGGCGTCAGCAAACCTTTGACGCTCTTACTCTGTCCTCCCTTTGATGGAAATGAGGCAAAGGGTCTAGGGAGATTGGACCAACCACGTAGACACACTAAGGGACGTTGGGAGCTCTTTACGGCAGCCAGAGCGACACCAGGCACCGCTGCCGTTCTTTTCTCAGCAGAAACGGGCTGTGTCTTTAAGCTTTCACCATAGTCGGGGTTCTGTACTCTGGGGCCCTCCTCTTCTTGGGCCTCAGTTTTAACATCCTAAAGGGATTTGGTTGGTGGTTCACGCCTGTGACTCAAACACTCAAGAGGTAGAGGCAAAGGAGCAGCGGAAGGCCTGTACTCCCAGCCCTCAAGAGGCAGGGACAGGTGGATCTCCAGAGTTCCAGGCCAGCCTGGTCTATAGAGTGAGTTCCAGGAGAGCCAAGGCTACACAGGGAAACCCTGTCTCGAAAAACAAAACAAAACAAACAAAAGCTGAGAGAGATGGGGCGGGGGAGGGGGGAAGATAGACAGAGAGAGGATAGACAGAGACAGACAGAGATAAAGACAGAGGGAGGTTATTTTGAGAACATCTTATCTGCAACCACATCTGTCTAGAACACCAAACATACAAAGTATAAAACCCTTTAAAATTAGCATGCTTGCACCATAACAAAAAATAGGCTGATATTTTCTAAAAACTTCTAAACTACCCAGTGACATAAGAAACCACTTGACAAGGGCATCTCTTAGGGACTCCCTGACTTGCACAGTTTCCTTCTCAGGAGGGTCAGGCCTGAAGAGACTCGGGAGGCCCAGCGCCTTCAGAGCCATAGTTATTCTGAAAACTACATTTCGGATAGAAGAAAGCTGAGACAAATAATACAGTGGAAAGAAGTCTGCTTAGGAATCAAACAAACGAAACCTAAATGTTGTCTTCACTTATCCCTGGGGGGTCTTGGCCAAACCATTCATAGCTTCCTGGCCTCAGTTTCCCCATCTAATGCCCGTGAGTCTCTGAGCTGATGACAACAGCCTAGGCTGTAGTGGCAGAGATGCCGAATAGACCACGTCTGGGTTTGGCATGACACAGGCAGGGCATGCAGCCACCAAACCAAGCATCCCTGGGCAGCAGCCTTCGGTGACCCTGGGGACAGGTTCGGATGGCTCTCCCTCGAATTAAATTGGATCCCTGCCCCTGACTCCAGTCTGGTTTGGGTAGATGCGGTACCCACCTGGCTCACAAAGATGTTTCCGGCCACACTCAGGGTCTCAGTGGCTGAGGTGCCCATGGTGACCTGCATCAGCCAGGCAATCTGGGGGGTATAAAAAAGAGTGCTCATGAGTGGACATTAGCAAGACCAGACTCAGAAAGACTTGAGGGGTGATGTGATGTGGTGATATTTTGTTTGTGCTCTCGCAAATAAAGCTTGCCTGGAGATCAGATCTGGGAGCTCACCCGCTAGAGGCCAGGCAGTGGTGACACACACCTTTCATCCCAGCACTTGGGAGGAGGAAACAGGAAGTGATACAGCTGGGCCGAAGTGATAAGGCGGGAGGAGACAGTGTGGCCCCTGGCAGTCTGAGGATTCCTTTGAGGTAAGCAGTCTTTCTAGTGGCTGGCTGCTCTGCTTCTCTGATCTCTCAGCTTTCACCCTGATATCTGACTGTGGGTGTTTATTACTAAGACCAATTAGAATTCACATTATGGGGTGAAGGTACCTTAGAAGTCTTCCTTCCAGCCCAGGGCCCTGCTGTGGTTTGAATGGCCTCTCCAAAACTCATGTTGAACTTTAATTAGCACTGAGGTAGTATTACAGGTGATGGGGGACTGGGGAGATGACGGCTCCGTCTGTCAGGTACCCGTGTAAAAAGCAAGCACCTGTAATCCCAGCGCTGGCGAAATGGAGACAGGGGATCCCCGGGAATTGCTGGCCAGTCAGTCTAGCCAAATCAGTGAGCTCCAGGTTCAGTGAGAGATCCTATCTCAGAAAACAAGGTGGAGGGTGAGCCAGCTGGCTCATCGGGTAAAGGCATTTGCCACCAAGCCTGATGGCCTAGTCTGATCCCCAGGACCCATGAAGTGGAAAGAGAACCTACTCCTGCAAGTTGTCCTCTGACTGCTACACATGTCTGTGGCATACAAACATACATACACAAAAATAAATTTATATATATAATATATTAGCCGGGCAGTGGTGGCCCATGCCTTTAATACCAGCACTCGGGAGGCAGAGCCAGGCAGATCTCTGTGAGTTCAAGGCCAGCCTGGTCTGTCTACATAGTGAGTTCCGGGACAGCCAGAGCTACATAGTAAAACCCTGTCTCAAAAAAAAAAAAAGTTCACCGTAATGTCTGGCCTAGTCCCCTCAGCTACTTCACTAGAGACTTCCTTTTCCAAGTAACATCTGGTAGCATGCCAGGGTCTA